TGCATCCCAGCCAACCAAGAGCAGTTGACTACGTGGTTTTCAAGTCAACCTGCAAACCAGTTCGGAAAAACACGGAAAGCGGCAGGAGCCCCACATCCTCAACAGAGCCCACAACATGTTTTGTGAACAATGGGTGAAAATTGCCAATGAGATAAGGGAGATGCCCCAAGATAGCCGCAGACTGGCAGCAAAACACAACCATGCCTCAACAAAAAATAACCTTATACTTGTCGGACCTAAGTCTGTAATGGCTTTTACCGCAAAAAAAAGGTAAAATAACAGTAGCAAAGCCTTCAGCATAGCAATCACCTCCAACATACCCCCACGAGAAGCCTCAAGAGAGCCCCAGAGCCCCAACATTTGGCGAAACGTGCCAACATGGAGAAGGATATGCCGTAAGAATGCACCAAGACCGCCGAAGATTGGCACAAACATGCCCAAATTTGACCGCCCATTGGAGCAAGCTTTCGTAAGCAACAAAAACGACAAACAAAACTGTCAAACCCACCTTTCTTACACTTGTCGGACCTCTTTTTTCATAGTTTGTATGGTGTTTTGCGCACACTACTATGCAAAAGGCCACCTGCCCAAGTCAAACGGCAGAAAAAACAAGTAACCTTACACTTGTCGGACCTAAGTCTGTCATGGCTTTTACGATGCTTTACGCACATTACCCAAAAAAACGACCTGCCCAAGTCAAACGGCAGAGAAAAAGCAGCCAAGTGGCCCAACATCGCCGCAAAAAAGTGAAATAACAGCAGCGAAGCCTTCAACATAGACCCCACGGCCCCAATCACCTCCAACATACCCCCCACGAGAAGCCTCAGGAGGGGTGAAATGCGCCAATATGGTAAAGGATATGTCCCAAGAATGCACCAAGATCGCCGAAGATTGACACAAACGTGCCCCAAATTTGACCACCCACTGGAGCAAGTTTTTATAAGCAACAAAAACGACAAAAAACACTGTCAAAACCACCTTTCTTACACTTGTCGGAGCCGCAAACTGGCAGCAAAACACCACCACGGCCTCAAAACAAGATAAACAAGCAACCTCATTCAGTCTGTCATGTGCTTTACGATGTTTTATGCACATTACCCAAAAAGACTACTAGCCCAAGTCAAACAGCAAAGAAACCAACATCGCCCAAAAAAAAAGTAAAATAACAGCAGCAAAGCCTTCAACATAGACCCCACGGCCCCAATCACCTCCAACATACCCCCACGAGAAGCCTCAAGAGAGCCCCAACATTGGGCGAAACGCGCCAACATGGAGAAGGATATGCCCTAAGAATGCTTCCAACATACCTCCACAAGAAGCCTCAAGAGAGTCCCGTAATTTGGGTGAAACGGGCCAATATGGAAAAAATACCCTAAGAATGCACCAAGATCACCGAAGATTGGCACAAATTTGACCACCCACTAGAGCAAGCTTTCATACGCAACAAAAACGACACACAAAAACTCAAAACCACCCCTGATCTAGACCCCACGGCCCCAATGACTTCCAACATACCTCCACGAGAAGCCTCAAGAGAGCCCCAACATTGGGTGAAACATGCTCTAAATTTGATCACCCGCTGGAGCGAGCTTTCATAAGCAAACAAAAGCTCTCAAAAACACCTTCCTTACACTTGTCCAAACGTTCGCGATTCTGGCTATGCCGCCTGAGGCAGACTGCATTATTAACATCCTGGGTGTGTTCGTCCGGAGGCCCCCCCCCACCCCCCACCCCCCCCTCCCTTTCGGTAATACTTCCAAGCGCTACAGCGCTTTCCGTCATCAAGCGCTGTAACCATATGCCACCTTGCCCACGCCAAATCAGCAAGCAACAATCAAGCAATTACACCTTGGGCCTTGGGCTAGGAAATGGCTCAGC